TTGTTTTTTTTTCTTCCTTAAACTTGTTGGTTAAAAGAACAAAACAAAACAAAATAAAACTGGCCATGACACAAAACAAAAAACAAACAAACAAAAAAAAAACAATTGATGTGCTGAAAAATCTAATTTCTTAAAAGAAATAGAGCCCCTTAACAATAAATACTTATTATTGATGCAATGCCATTAGGATTGTCCAGAAACGGGTTGCCACTATATTGCATCACCTCTTCCTTTCCCAGTTGTCTATATATGTTTTAAAGGGATCAGCTGCTTGATCTTGTGATAATTTCCCTAAATTTCTCACCATGTTTTTTTTATTTCTTTTAAAGAATAAGGGGTCAGAAGACAGGGTTGTGGGGCTCAATAGAAACTAAAATAAATAGTAAATAAAAGTGGCCCTCACAATGGAAAACTTGTTTGGCTGCTGTTTCCTCTTGGCTCACACTAGCTCCTGACAAGAGTGATTCTTTTGGCTGGCACAGCCAAAGACTGGTGAGTGGGATCATAACTGGGAATAAGTTTGGACGATGAATCTCTGGGATCCCAGGATTTTTGGTTTTAGAAAGCTGTGAAATAACTCTGATCAGTAGCTGGATTTCCTGAACTTATCCAAAGTCTGTCACACGTCTGAGCTGAGATCAGACACAAAAAAAGTGTCATAAATGGCATGTTCTGTGCTAAACTAACGCAGAGATGTTGGAGAGCAAATGCTCCTTTTGCTCTATGGGATTAGATTTTTGATACAGATTCACAGATTATTCAATAATTAATCTCAATGAAATTTCAACCAAATATGCTTATATGAAACGAAAAGGAAAAGTTATTTGTACATCACTTTCCTTTTTACTCTGAAGGCAAACTATCAGAAATATAACTATATACTGTCACCCATAAACTCAGATGCCCATCAGATCTAACACAAGGTGTCATCCTTCTCCTTAGGTAACAGTTTCCCTTCCAGCCATGGGAGACATAGGTTTTTTTTTTTTAGACCAGGGCTGAAGCTCTCATTAAATATTTATTTTCTCTTCAACCAGTAATTAGCTTAGGTTTTGTATGATTATATCTCATTGTAACAATGAGCCATTGTTACCTGTATATTGGCCAAAGTAGCAGCTAAACACAGCATCTGGTTTTCTACACTGGTTTATTTTTGCTGTTTTGGGTGAAGTGGATTTGTTTGGGTTGTGGTTCTTTGGTTGGCCACATCTTGTTTTCATTTTTGTAAAAAGGTAAATTGATTTCACTTTACAAAACTTTGTTTTTGTTTAACTCTTCATAAAAGGGAAATTCATGGATTAAAGAGTTCAAATATTGTGAAATACTCACCTCTGCTGTTTCACTCTCCAAGCAGGTGTGTACAGGACTGCACCATTGGATAATTGAAAGGGGGAGGTTGATCTGATGTATGGTGTTTTCTATATAGAGTTTGAGTAATTGTTTGGGTTGAATTGAAATATTTGTTTTCTGTATTTATTGGTAAAAGTATTTCTTAATTAGCTGTTTGTTTAAACCAAATTTTCCTTTTCTTCTTGTTAGCTGAACATCCTTTTAAAAATGGTTTCTTCCAATTTAGTTCCTCCTCTATATAAGAAACATGTCTGCCATTGTTCTGGTGGTTGGTGTGGTTTGGTTACACCAGACATTTTTTTTTTAATTTTGTTAGCTGTAAACTCTTTAGAGCATGTACTTCTTTCAACCAGTTTGGATCCCACCTCCAAGACTGCTTGGCCTCCTGACAAGCGTGTGACACTCATAACTGAGCTTTGCACACAGAAACGATCTGAAGTCAAAAACTTCAGCAATAAATTGGAATTGAGCATTGTAGAATAAATAAGAATAACATAATTTATTAGAGGTCATCCAATTTACCATCTGAGTCTTTGTAACACCATATTATTGCAAAGTATTGCAGTTTATCAGAGCATTCCATAGTTACACAGTTCACAAGTTATTGAGGCATCCTTATTGTTGCATTGGTCATTTGGAGCAAGTAATCAACTTCATATGTTGATATCCATGTTCATATCAGAGTAACACATCCATTATATCGACTGTTGTTCATGTGGGGGGAATGATTAAAAAAAACTATGACTGTAGAAGCAGAGATATGAAATGGGCTTTTCTGTTCTACAAAGCAGAAAGGTTGCAGTTATCAAAATCATACCTAGTTTAGAGTTTCTGCATTTGTTGGTTTTTGATTTTAAATGACAAGATGTGTTTAAAATAAATACAGCTTCAGCAGGTTTATGTAAGAAACTGGAATAGTTAACAATCAGGGGAACATAGTTGATGTTAGTGGGAGGCAGTGTTGTTTATGCGACATATATGTTTAACTGAAACCATGAAATAAGACATGAAGATAAAGAACAGTATGTGTGGGTGTAAATACGGTTCTGCTTTATTTAGCTGCCTGATAAGTCCTAACTGAATACTGCTCAGAATCATTGTCTTTAACAAATCAGCTTTTCATTTCAAGTTGGATTTTTTTCCTCTAAAAAGCTGGAGTTTAAATTAAGTGGATTGTTTTTTTTTCCTCGCATTTTATTCAATGTGGTAAACACAGGTGAAAAAAAAAAAACCTCTATCCTTTGTTTAAAAAATCTCTTCATAATTTGTCCTCTCATGCACATAGATGTAGTTTGAGGTACTAAATCATGAAACATTCACATGATCATTCTAACATTTTGTCTTTATATTTTCACTTTAGCATCCCATTCCCACCCTCCTCCTTGGCAGACGATTGTATCACTCCATGCATCACAACTAAATACGTCATTGCAGTTAAATATAGAACCCAACTGATCCCACAATCATGTCACTTTTGGCATGCTTGGTCTTGACTTGTGTGCTGCAATTCTTTTTAATCTCAACAGACCATTCAAGAATCCTCCCAGTTGAAGTGAGTCATTAGCCGCCAGTTGTCCGTCCTCCTCCTAGTCCCTCTCCTTCTGCTCACAGAGTCTATTTTAAATCAGGAGAAATTAAGATAAGATGACTGAATTACAATAACTATGTTCTTCTGATGTGCCCCTTGATACACAGTATCTTCAGAGGCTCAGTTTTTAGCCTTGAGCCAATACAGAAACAGTTGGTGTTTGTGTGCACTCCATAATGCTTTTATTATACTCCTGCTGCTGGTATTTCAAGCTCTTTTTATAACATTTGCATTTCAGGGATTTCAGGGGTGGCTTCTTTTTTTTGAATACTTATCATAGATGGAGTAGAGGACCTGTTCAGAAATGGGATAGCATTTTGAAGTTGAAGATGTCAGTAAGAAGAGGTTAGGAATTTTGAGTTGTTTTTAAGATATTCCTACATGCTTTTATTTTAAATGCAGAATGGAGCTCCAATTAGCTATTGTAAACAATGTTAGGAAAATCTTTGCACTAAAGCATTGATGGTCCTATCTCCATCTGGGCTGTTTAAGACATCCAGAAATTCACATGTGGTGACAATTTAAAGTCATCCTCTAATGGCAACTTGTAATTATCACAAAGCAAAGTTACGAGTAACAAGCAACAAACTTAGACTTCTTTACTCCTGGTTCGGCCCGGAACTTTTAAATAGGTGTCTGGTCTCTGGAAAATCTTTTTGGCCAGACACCTGGACACAGCACACATCATACAATTCTAAACCTTCAAAACATAACACATAAAGTACACCCTAACATGCTGGTGAAGTTTTTTAGTCATCCAGGTCATAGTCATTCCAAAAATGTAAAAAAAAATTAAAAAGAATCCACTGGACTTGGTTTCCAATGTGGGTGACTGCAGATAAAAAAGTATAAACATGTATTGTGTTTTGCTTTGTTCAATTTTGGTTTCCATCCATCCATCCATCCATCCATCCATCCATCCATCCATCCATCCATCCATCCATCCATCCATCCATCCATCCATCCATCCATGTTGAAACCACTTGGGTTGAGTAACTTTAGGTCCATCAGCCACCATCCTGTTGTCCCCACCAACTATCATTACAAACTTATACCCTTGGGCTGGAGATTGCAGACTCTCCTATTGCAAAAAGAGGAATCTCTTTTCTGCATAATTTGCAGTTTGCCAAATGTTAGTTTGCCCCATGTTTATGCCATGGTATATATTTTATATATTCATCAAAATTACATCCTTGCAGCATGTTCGTTTAATGTTCTGCCTGCCTGAGTGTAATGTTGCCTTTACAGCAGACTAGCATGGCACTAACGCAAAAGCTCGGGGGAGCCAAACCAGACAAAGAGGTTAACATTTTTGAATTTCTCTATATTACTTCTCTTTCTTTAATAAGCAGTAAATAAAGTGAGATTACTATTGGTGTGAAACATTTTGTAAACCTTAAAAACACTATATTAATTTTCCAGCATTTTCAAGGATGTAAAGCACCTGTAGGAACCCTGATTTATTGCATAAAATATTTGCATTTTTTTTTTTATTTTGTATTTTTATTTGATTTTCTTAAATAAATGTATTAATTCAATCATTTGTTTCTTGTAGGTCTGAATTAGCTTAGTTCTGTATTCACAATTTGACAAGCATCATCTACTGTATGTGCATGTCCTTCACATAATTACGAGCTTAAGGCAGAAGTCTATCTGGATTCAGGGCAGCAGTTCAGGGCACCTTTTCCTTCCCTGGATAGTGTTCTTACTGTTGATCCCACAAAAGGTAAGGACATTTTAGCTAGGAACAGAAGGCAGGATCTACAAATTGTCCAATTTAGAAGAAGCAAGAATCTTTAGGCAAACTAAGGGCTCATGGTCTCCTCCTTAGAACCTTGCATCTCCCATCCTGCATGTTCTGCTGTCCGGGCAACACATTCCAAGGGGAGCATTTTTTAAAATATTGTATTTACGAGGATGAAAGGCTCTGGAGCAACTGGCAGTTGTAGATTTTGCTATGGGGGGCCTCAAGACAACTTCAGGCTTGTTATCTGTCAAAACTGATAAGCACTTATAACAGCAGCACAGTTCTGACAGCAACACACAACCAAGAGACGTTACATTTAAAATTTTGAAACAAATCTTTTTTTTTCCTGAAAGCCAACAGCAGCTTGCAATATGAGCTGCTATCACTGCATCCTGAACTGAGCTGAGGCTCACATCTCCAAGCAGAAATGGCAGATCTAGCTAAGAAAGGGTTAAAAGATCAAAATGGTCAAAGTTTAGTGGTTCGTGAATTTCAGCTGAAAGATAAACCAGAGGTGCAGCGGATTTTTTATGAAGGCTTGATGGAGATGGTACCAGACACTGCTTTCAGAGGTTTGAGGCATCACCCTGAGATTCTTCTGCTTTACACAGCAATAACTGGTAAAACACACTCGAGGATTGTAGTTTTATCCTTCTTTAAAAAAACAAAATTTTTTGTTATTCACCTGTATCATTTTCTTAATTAGAAAAAAATACATTTTCTAGTTTCTTTTTCATACATGCCAAGTATAGTATTTTTTTTCCTATTTTATGAATATTTTTTTGTTCTTTCACATTATGTTTTTTAAATTATCTACTACATACCATTATCTTTCCTTTGGCAGTTGTGTGTTTTGCCACCACAAAATGTTCCTGGCTGATAGGACTCCTCCCAGCCATTGTGGTGTGTTTGCGCTACTTCTACAGTAGATGTGTGATCCATGGTTACCTACGCCAAGCTATGAGCTCAGATATGGGAGACATTGAGGGTCATTACATGAAAACACCAGGTACGAAACTGTTTTATTAAACCATATCTAATTATCATTCTTCCATGACTAGTGCTTAGATCAAGTACAGTAATTAACAGCCTGCACATTAGAGTGAAAGCCTTCTGTGAGATTTTTCTGTGGAGTTCTACTTTAGTTACTTAAGCAAACCATATCATTAATCATATCCTGTATTATTTCCAAACTGCTTTTTTATTGTTTCTTTCTGGCTTAATAGGGCTGATTTGAATGCTTTAAAAAAAAATCCTGACATACCTCCATTTTTATGTTTATTTGAAGTCTTTTTACGGCTGTGTAATCAAATCTAAGCTAAATATTATAATGTAGAAATGCTTTGATAGAAGAATTACTACATAAAAAACAGTTAACTACACCAAAACAATTCATTTCACTTAAATGTTTTATGTCCTTCCATCTTCTGACCAGAAATTTCAATGAATCATTAACTTTAATTAATCGGGGGTTAACTCTGGAAGTCAATTCTGATGCTATTAGCTGGGTTCCCTTCAACAGAAGGCTTTGAACCAATCACTCTGTATGATTTGATATAACTGGTTCCGCCTTCAAATGACTCTAAATAAACTGATACCATTTGTTTTATCAGGATTTTGTGTAAAGGACCAATACAGAGTGGTGCACAACTATGAAATAAAAGAAAATGGTTTACAACTATTTTTGTAGTTAAATCTGAAAAGAGGAACTGTCATTTATTATTGTTATTATTTGTTTATGTTATTTACTGTCAATATTTTATAAAGCCCATGTTTACTGATATTGTGGCTGTCAGTCTTTTTGGGTAAGCCTTTGTCAGCTTTAAACATGTAAAAAAGGAATTTTTCTCAATTCTTATCAAGGAACATAGTTTCAAACAGATTTTAAAAACAGTCTCACCAGCCGTTCTCAATTAGTTTTTGTTCCGATTTAACTTGCAAAAACTCGTAAACCCTCATGTTTCTTTAAAATTCAACTCCATATTGACAAAATGTAATTACAATTTTGCTAGAAAGTCAAACACAACTATATATAACTTTTATATAATTTTATTTCTAAATATGTACTCTCTGCTCCTTCTCCTTCAGGCTCTCATATTTGGGTAGCAGAGCTGGAGGGTAAAGTTGTGGGTGCTGTTGCGGCATTTTACCTTTCAGATAAAACTGTGGAGCTTCGGAGGATGTGTGTTGACCGGAGATACCGGCGATGTGGAATTGGTGTTATGCTGGGACAGAAAGTGCTTCATTTTGCTGCCTCTCACAGCTACTCCTCTGTTGTCCTTGGGACCACATCCTACACACCTGCAACACATAAGCTCTACAAACGTCTGGGTTTCCACTGCATCGCTGTCACGAATGGCTACATCACACCTGGTTCCACGCAGTCCTTCCTAGAACAGATCTTCTACAGGGTTCGGCATCATTATTACATCTGCAACCTTCAACACTCGAAAGTCAACATAGATGGACAACATTGACCTGTATACATAGCTAATATAAAAGCTAAAGTAAAATAATCTCTTAAGTGTTTACTTCTATGCTTTTCTAAAAAGCAGCAGAAAGTTTGTGCAGTTGTTAAAAAACTGAATCATTATTTAACAAGTTTAAGTCAAGTGATGATCTGTTTTTTACCTCAGTTTACCGCAATTGATTGCCTAAAGTGTCCTGAACGTTCATTCATACCTATTAATTTTATTTTGAAAGTAAATTCTAAATGTATGGATATTACTGTAAAAGTCATATTTGCTATAGAGAATTTGATTTGCTTTTAAAGTTAAAAGTATTTGTTAGCATGTTAAATGTAATCTGTTGCTGTGTGATATGTTTTTCTTTTTTGATCTGGCTTACTATTGTTAATAAAATGTCCTTGTATAATAATATTAGGTTAAAAAAAAGCTAAAACAGTCTTTCAATTACTGGTAAGTATTGAAGATAATTTCAGAAACATTTGGTCCCCCTTACATTTTCAATAAACACAAATGAACTAAATACTGCTTATCATCTTTTTTATTATACCGTAGGTTAGACTGTTTATTTATTTTATTTTAAGTCCTTTTTACACTAATAAACATAATGGGCCGGATCTATCAAAAGTTTGCGTGTATAAAAACGTGAGCTATTTCACTG